GAGAGCGTGCAGGGATCCTTTACTGCTAGAATTCACTCACTAAACACTCTAAACTACTGGGACCGACTAAAGAACCTAAATCTGTTTTCCCTTGAGCGCAGGCGGGAGAGATACATAATAATTTGCACATGGAAAATATTAGAGGGGCTGGTCCCAAACCTGCACACAGAAAAAATATCACATGAGACCAGGAGGCATGGCAGGATGTGCAGAATACCCCCGTTGAAGAGCAGAGGTGCAACAGGTACTCTGAGAGAGAACTCTATCAACATCAGAGGCCCGAGACTGTTCAACACGCTTCCACTACACATAAGGGGCATAACTGGCCGACCCCTCACAGTGTTCAAGAGAGAACTTGATAAGCACCTCCAAAGGATACCTGATCAACCAGGCTGTGACTCATACGTCAGGCTGCGAGCAGCCGCGTCCAACAGCCTGGTTGACCAGTCTAGCAACGAAGAGGACTGGGCGAGGACCGGGCCGCGGGGACGTTAAGCCCCGAAACCGCTACAACGTATCCACAAGTTAAGCTTACTTGTTTGGTTTCGTGTGGACTTAAGGCCTAATTTACTTGTCTGGTTTGGTGTTGGACTTATCGCCTGTGAACCTCTGGATGTCTATTAATTAAGTTCGCCCCAATACCTTATTGACCAACCAGCAAGTACACTTCATCCTCAACATTGTCCTGGAGTAAAGTAAACTCTCCGAATATTACACAATGAGAAATGTGGCTATGGAGTCGGAGTCGGTAAAAATGTACCGGCTCCGACTCCTAGTAAATTTAAAATTAATACAAATGATATGTTAAAATTTTCCTACTTAACAAATAATAATTTGATTACCCTATTGTTTTATGTTATGCTTTCAGAATGTATATTATATTAGTTAAAGCGGTGCACGGTGAACAAATTCGCAATGACAAAAAGTGTTTCTGAACATTTTACAATAACAGCAGATGGGAAGCGTTACGTATGTCAGTGAGCAACACTCTACATGATGATGATGATGAATGTAAAAAAAAAAAACATGAGCTGCAAAAATGTGTAGTTTTAGTGTTTATGAAAATTATTTACCTACAGGAGCATCAAATTTAATAAGATACTTGTATAAATTTCTTCCTAAAATGCTAGAAGCTGTGAGTGGAGAGAGATAGCAATAAACAAATTTCCATCCATTAAGGGTTAAGGATGGATCACAAATCTATTTGAAAACAAAACCCAACAACCAATAATCTTCAGATCTGAGAAAGCTGTGGCGACAATGATGAGAGACACGTTTAAAAACCACACCATAGTACACCTCCATCCTTTGTTCACTACCAGCCTTTTTGGCCTTAATGCAGACATGGTTAAAAAAAAATATAAGTTTCACTGGAGAGAAACAGTAGAAGGAGACTGATAACTAAAGAGGCCAAATAGAAAAAAAAACGAAAAAGTCTGTAGAAATATTTAGTTTTAAATAAAATGATTACATGCATACGTCTCAGATTCAATTATTTTCCTGATAATGCTAAATATGAAGGTGAAGGAAAGACCCAATATATGTATAAATGTATTTAAAAAACTAAATTTCGGATGTAACCTAAAACCTTTCTCAAAGTACTGTATGAAATGTTAAATGTATTCATTAAGTTGAGAAAGGATGAAGGTTATATCCGAAATTTTGGTTTTAATACATATACATGTACATACACAAAATATATACATATTTTGTGTTTTTCATTCATCTTCATTCAAGCACTACGGGATTGTAGCAAGTTTCTCCAATGTTAGATTTGTTGATGAAAACAATAAAATGATATATTCGAATATTGGGAGTAAAGGACAACCGGGCACATCACACAATAACATCTTAAGAAGTTAGTGGAAGACGTTTAAGAAAGATTTTGAAATGGAAAATGAGCAGGTTCTATGTACTGAAAGCTAAAGACGATGAGTCACAATCTCGTGGCTGTAGATATGATGACCAAACCACACATTAGAAAATGAAGAAATGATGACGTTTCGGTCCGTCCTGAACCATTACTAAAGCATGTAACGCTTCTAATATGTTAAGCAACTTAAAAACAAATAATTTTGGAGTGCACGAATATTTAAATATTAAGACAACATTTCTAAAAGTAATTCACAAACAAGATAACACTGAAATTGTAGATAATATTGCTTAAGAAGCATCAGAGCTAATTACAATTCAGCATATGTGCTGTTCTGTTCACACTCTGCAACTAGCAATACCATACGGATTTAAAAATTGTCATGCAACTACTGTCATTCGCAAGTTAAGGCAAGTAGCTGTTGCAACCAAGACCCTCTGAAAAATATCTATTCTACAAAGACGTTCTGGAAAAGAAGTCAATCTGGGTCAAGCAAGAAGTTGGGGAGCACTAACACGATAAAGCGTTTGCCTCAACTAAAAGACTTGCTTGAAGATCTGGACAACGTAAATGTTTCACTAAGTGAAAGCCAGTGGGAGCAAGTGACTGAGCTAGAGTCTGCTCTCTCACCCTTTTGGAGAGCACACCATAAAAGTTTGCTCAGTTTCTATATAACCAACATTCGTAGCCAACTAGACTATTGCTGCCAGGCATATGCGTTGGCTGCGCCTACTAACCTACAGAGCCTTGAGGTCATACAAAACCATGTCACTCAACTTATATGTGGCGCAATGCGTTCCACTCCTGTCCTCGGCCTTCAGGGGGAAACAAGCCTCACAAGCTTAGCTACCAGGCGAGACATAATGTTTGCCAACTATCTATCACTCTGTAACTATCTATCTATCAGCTCATCCGAACTCTTCAAATAGTCACAACATTACCAGTTGGGATAAATACAATCTGTAGCGACTCCAAGAGTACGAGTCTGGCAATTACGTACTCTTCCACAACGTGCAAAGAGTTTGTTTACCTAGGCCTTCAACTTCTTCATGAACATCGATTGAACGGTTATGATATCTCTGTCTAATGGGAGCCAGCACATTATGGTATACTCCATAATGAACTTGTAGATCAACTGGCTAAGACAATGCACAACACGCCTTACATTACCTGTCATCTAGTTCCTCATATTGCACATAAAGAAGCCTTCAGAGATGCCATCACCCAAGATTTTGAAATTAAATGGAAAACGTCATGCTCACCTTTGTACTATAGGTACATAAAAAGAAATGGGAAACTTGGAAACATGTCAGATATAAAAACAGAAAAATTGATGTAACGATGTAAAAATACAACTGGGAAAGATCATCAGGGTAAAAAGGGGGACCTTCGACAAGCCGCCGGCTTCCTGTCCTCGTCGAAGCCACTAGTATTAGTGGCCCTCAGGTAAATTCATATAAATAATGTAATGAATTATTATTATATTTCATGTGTGTTGTGTGTGTAAGTGTAACTGCTCCTTTCGTCGGCCGGCCGCTGCTACATTTACTACCCCCCCCCCCTTTTAACCTGGCCTCTGTGTGTGTGTGTGTGTGTGTGTGTGTGTGTGTTTACTAGTTGTGTTTTTGCGGGGGTTGAGCTTTGCTCTTTCGGCCCGCCTCTCAACTGTCAATCAACTGTTCACTAACTACTTTTTTTTTTTTTTTTTTTTCCCACACCACACACACACACCCCAGGAAGCAGCCCATGACAGCTGACTAACTCCCAGGTACCTATTTACTGCTAGGTAACAGGGGCACTTAGGGTGAAAGAAACTTTGCCTATTTGTTTCTGCCTCGTGCGGGAATCGAACCCGCGCCACAGAATTACGAGTCCTGCGCGCTATCCACCAGGCTACGAGGCCCCATGTGTGTGTGTGTGTGTGTGTGTGTGTGTGTGTGTGTGTGTGTGTGTGTGTGTTACCAACCTGTGAGGTGGTTAGTAGCTTATTGTTCTATTTTGTGTACATTTGTATGATGCAAATTTTGTGTAGTTGAACATTTGCGAATGTTCCTGAGTTATATAATGTATATTGAGTATTTTTGTTTGCCTTTTGTTACTCCGTGTGGAGTAATATATTTTGTACAATGTGAATTGACTGGAGGAGACGGAGAGTAGGTGCCTCACTAGTGTGTGGGTTCTGTAGGGTAACACACGTACTGTCTGTGCTCTTATAGTATATAGCATTTGAAATAGTTTTGTATATATCCATTGACTTCTGGCCATTAGGTAAGCAGAGGATTATTGTGTGGATCAGAATTAAAATAAGTGTTATCACGTAAATTCACAATGTTTTTTCATTAATTTTTACATGCAAAGCATGTGAATAACTAGTATAAAGGATATACAGAATACAAACACAAAGGGAAAGAAAACAAAAGAACAAAGCCATACGCCTGAAGGGCCTCACAACAAAACACAGAACACGTAAAACGTATCATGACAGGTAGGACAAACATTAGGCCAAAAGAAAAATGAAAACACAGGTAAAAGACATTAAAGACATAGGTTCAGTACAACCCAAAACAAGGGTACAGTACAACCCAAAAAGAGGGTACGGTACAACCCTAAACAAGGGTACAAAAACCAAAGGCCTGAAGGGCCCATAGCAAACAATGCTATGAAACACATGAAACACAAACATAAAAGCACCAAATGAAAGAAAACACACAAAACACATAACAGTAGCCAGTCGACGACGGACAGAAACAAAGGAACATAAATAAAACGAGAGAAAGCAAAATATAAAAATGCAATACAGGTACATAATTACCCATAAAAGCACAAAACCACAGAGTACAAAACCATGTAACATAAATAAATCCAAGGCACACACACCAGAGCAAAACACCCGAACACGCAAGAACAAGAAAACAGAAACCACAACCACTCACCCACAAGCAAAAACACCGGAACACGCAGGAACCGGAAACAAAAGAAACCCAACCACATCAATGCACACGCATGCACACGTATCCACAAACATCACAACCACACGGATATACACCGGAACACAACACTGGAACATACAGGAACTGGGAGGAACAGGAACAAAGTCAATAACGCCAATATTTCTCTGGAAACTCACTCGCCACGCCGACGTGGGCAATCCATAAACTCCGGAACCACAACATCACGTGGCGGCTCGGCCAGAGGCGACCGCACCAGAGCAGGGAACCACGAAGACGAAGGTCGAATAGTCAGCAACCCCGCCGCTGATGGAACAGGGGACAGGGGCACGGAAACTGTCGGCCACAACACAGGAGGCGGTTCCACAGGGGGTAACACCACAAGGGCCACATCCAGAACAAGGTCCACAGGGTCAGGCACTGGCACAGAATCCCCACGTCGGACATTCTTCCGCAGGACCACCACAAGGCCCCAGCCCATATCATTAGCTGTATCATCCACTACAGTAGGAGGGACCACCCCCCACTGTGGGGAACCCCCTGCAGGAGAAAAAACAGGTTAACATAGAGACACCATCATCGGTGGTAGCAGCAGGCACGTTAATTTCCGCCACCACCATTGTAGTCGACACCGCTGCCCCAGAGACCACCTCGCCGACACTCGCTGATTCGCAAGCGTCAAAATCAACCACATCGGCCCAGGCAGAAGGAGAGAAGCGCCGCGAGTGCTTGGGACTCAGCCACACATTTTCAGAGCCGGAGGCAGAACCAGAAGCACGGAAAGTGCAGTGGGGGGCGCACTTTCGCACGGCACAAGACGTCAGCAGCCTTGACAACAGGGGGAACTGGCCTCACTACAGAAGCAGATCCCGCCTAAACATCACCTCCCAGCACAAGTGGGACAAGCAGCGGGGACGGAGAGACAGGAGCCGCAGGACAAGGCAGAGGAACAGATGCAGAAGACGGAGGGTCAGACGCAGAAGACGGAGAAGCTGAAGATGGAGAGGGAGCACCCGAGAGAATGCCACCAGCAGCAGTACACTCAACCGAGGATGGCACAACCACCGGAGCACAAGCCCCACCAGCAGCAGGCACACCGTCCGACACAGGGCACGTCACATCAGTCGAGGACACATCCACAAAAGCACCCACCGGGTCCTCCTCCACAACCAGTGGCAAGAAATCTTCCTCTCGGAAGAGATTCACTTGGGAAAAGACTTCTGCCGAGCAGGCAGCAGCTAGATGGCGACAACCCACAGCGAAAACATGTGTGAGGCTGACTGGCATAGTAGACCTGGATGTAATACCCCATGAGCCGCACCGAGGATGGGATATCCGACCGCAGCCACATCCCCAGAATGTGGTTACTAGTCTGGACGCCCCTAAATTTCCCAGAGGAAACCATATTGGCCCTCAATATCAAGACAGCAGCAAACTGTCCAAAGTATCACCACAACAGCTCCTCCGGGAATTCAAGGGGGCACACCATGCACGCTGACAAAAGTGAGGGCCCCACTGCGGTCAGAGATAATCACTGTACCAGCAGCATCCGGTAGGGGCAAGGACCGCCCATCGTAACGGCGTAAAAACACCCTGTAGTCATCATCATTTGCTAACTTCACAATAGCCCGATGCGAAGACCCCAATTCCACACCATAGATCGCCGCCATGGTCACAGTCAGCATATCACACACAACTAATTCCACGGCCAGATAGTCGGCCTGTCCAGTAAATTCCAGGCCCACCGAATAAGCCCGCAAAACGGGGGTGAAGGGGAGTCCCCCATCACGTAAGATACTTCAACAAATGACAAGTGTCCACCAACCACCACACATGCTGGGCAACTACTGGAGCACACGCGGCCACCTCGGCACCCCATGCTGGCTGGTGGTGAACTCATGGCCAGTAGGTAAGCAGAGGATTACTGTGTGGAGCAGGGTTAAAATAAGTGTTATCACATAAATTCACAAATTGTTACTTTTGTGGTGAAGTGATTTTTCAATCATTGTAACTCGAACGATTGAGGACGAGTTATTTGGAACTGGGAGAAATGGCAGTTATTTGGAACTGCTATTTGCCCGTCCAGTTGGAACTTAGTTCTTCTGAAGGCGAAGTGATAGTTCAGTGACTTGTGTTATTTATGTTTATGCTGAGACATTATACCCCACTCTGATTATGCAACGTAACTAACCACCGTGTTCACAACCTACCAGCCAGTCTTGAGTTGTCTAGTGTACCAATGTTATTAGGTGATCTTTACTTAGTGACATCCAGCTGCTTTGACTTGTGTCTAATATTACTTTACTTACTTGTTACTGTGTTGCGAATATGTCTATAGATGTTTGTATATAATAAGCTGTGTCATGGTATATAAGTTCGCCCCAGTAAACTGGTGAACTTTACATAGACTTTCACTCATCCCTAGACATTTGAACTTGTATAGTTGAGGCCAGGAGGTTCATTGATTTATGAGGGAAAGTTCTACTCCACGAGCCTTGCAGGGAAGCAGGACATAACAAGGGGTGTAGCTAGAACTTTAACAAGAATTCCATCCTGCCAAGTCAGTGTTGAAAGATTTTTTGGCGAAGTAAATAGTCAAATCAGATTTAATGGCTTCTATGAGGGAGGCTCTGGCAGAAGCAGTTCTGTGTTTAGGAACGTTATCTTAATCAGTTTTTGGATATTATTTTTAACCCCGTATTCTGCAGCCAGGTGATAAGTTTCCTTAAGAAACTTTGAGTGGATAAATTTTTCAGTCTTTAACAATATAATTTTAATACAATATAACTTTAACATTTTAATAATTTGTTATAATTTTAATCTGGAAAAGAGAGGGATCTGGTAGAGAAAGATGTTCCATCTTTTCCTTTATAGTTTCTTTCTTATATATTCCATTAATTTACAGGCTTCTAACAAAAATATTGCCTCAGTATTTGCACTGTTTTGCCTGTGTATGAAATCTGAGGTTACTGAATGTTTGTAACTTCTTCATTAAATAAAATAAGCCACAATGCAGATTTTAGACCAAAACTTCAACAGCTTAAGGTTTAAAAAAAGTAGCTTTCATCACGCTGGCAGTGATGAAAAGCCATTTATGTTTTCTGCTTTCAAGTGATGAAGGAAATAAACAATTATTATACATAATTGTTATTTTATATATTTATATAAAAATTGAGTAGTCAGAGCCGGAATCGAAGGACTTATAGTACGACTTCACAGCCCTGGTTATTAGGCTTCCTACAATAGCCGACCAGGACTTGTTAACCAACCAACATATATAATTTGGTCCTGAACATTGTCCAAGTCTAAAACAAACTCTCAGCGTATATGCCCCGAGAAGTGGGGTATACGCTTCACGGTGTATCTCTTCAATTGCGATTAAACGTCATTTCTTTATGTCTCTTGTCAGGTGTACAAAACCGCCATTACCGCTCTCTTGCTTCAGTGATGACAAGTCTTTTCCACGTAAAAATAAAAATAAAACTGTGTTTTATGTTACAATGGTTATGGTCGTATTCATTAAAAGAGAGATGGAGAAAACTGTCGGAATTTTCCTTGCAATAAAATACAATAAAAACATCTGAAATAGAAACGTAGGTACATGAAGTCGTTTAGTTGAGATAAAACACCTGAAATAGAACATTAATTATATGTAGTTGCCTAGTTTATCTGTCTGAAGTAATTCTTATTAGCACTTGCTCTGCAATATACAATAATGTTTAGAAGGTTTGGATACTTCAGTTGCTATTCACTGGGACTGGAGATGAGTACACTATTGTTCAGTTTGTTCTATACATTTCTTTGCTAAACCAATATCTCACACCTATGGACCAGCACCTCCATGCGATTTGATAACAAATTCTCAAGGTTCGACAAGCGTCATTTGTTCATGATTTACTGGGGTTCTTTGCATAACTCAAAGCATTCGACGCTGAACAACCAAATTTAGCACAGCCAATGTTCATTTGTTCATGGCAGCGTCGATTTTGTTGTGAGTTTTGCTTTGACAGTGTTAGAGTTGCACCGTATTGATTGTAACACCAGTGGAAGGTCCTGGAGAAGTGTCGTCCATGGCCTTACTTGTTGGCCTGCTTCATATAACTTGCCGACCTATTTGACCTAACATGCCGACCTACTTGACCTAACATGTGACCTACTTGACCTAACTGGCCGACTTACTTCACCTAACATGCCGACCTACTTCACCTGAGTCAATTAAAATATTTACTGCACTACAGTGGATGTAACATTTCATTCTCCTCGGTCACAAGGTCGGGTGTTCGAGGCTCCTAGTGCTCTGGCCTATACTATAAGTCCAGACCCAAAATATTATTTTTGGTTGGTCAGTCAGCACATACCTTTATAACCCCTACCGAGATTGATAGGCCTTGAGACAACACCAGAAAATTAACATACTCTTGGGTGTTTTGAAAAATATTTGACCTTAAAACTTATGGTCTAAAGCCAACAGAGACTCACCGCCTCTCTAGTCCTCCGAGTTCCGTCCTCAAATTATCTCGTGTCTCCTCTGCTAACACGACTGCCTAAGCTGCTAAAGCCATCCAAACTGCCGGCGACTGGGGCCGATGGTCCCGAAATGCGTCGTGCTTAAACCAAGTTGTGTCTCAGCTCTTGAAGTATCGCAGTTAGGGCCCCAACACTAATGGTCGAGTGCTTGCTGGGCGGGCTGGCAAGCATCCTCCCTCTTGTTCATTCTCTCTGCTGGGGATTTATTGACGCTAAAATTGTGAGGATACAGACTATGCCAGAACAGGGAAATAGTCCCAAAGTATCTGAATTTGGTCCCAACAGTGTGTTCAGAAGCTCAGCTCAAAGGATGAATATTAATTCTGGCAGCAAATACACAAATTTTCAACTTACCTCACAATGCATTAATTCCGTTCTGAGAATATACTGTACATTTGACTTAAAAGAAATGATTAACTGCACAACAGAACTTTAATAATATGCATTCTGAAAACCTAAAATGAAATTTGTATTAAAAATGATTTAAATGCTGTGCCAGACACGGCAAACATGATAGTGGGCGAACTAATTACTGGTAGACGCAAGGCCCGCATGCATACCTGTCACTTGGAAGTAATATGTGCAGAGATTAAGAGCTGAGAGCTGTGAGATAGCAGTCTAAAGGCTGGGATGTGTAGACAGAATAGAAGCTGGGATGTGATGACATAATAGAAATGGAATGTTTGGATAAGAGAATATTATATATATATATATATATATATATATATATATATGTGTGTGTGTGTGTGTGTGTGTGTGTGTGTGTGTGTGTGTGTGTGTGTGTGTGTGTGTGTGTGTGTGTGTGTGTGTGTGTGTGTGTGAGAAAGCTGCATGAACACGCAACCGGCCAGGATTCGAACCCATGCCGTCCAGGATCACCCCTAAATCATCATTGATCATCATTGTACCGTGACCACCGCACCAATGATCGTCTATCATTGGTGCGGTGGTCAC